TTATCTACATCCTTTATCCAAGTGGTATTCTTACTGAATTTGTTTTGGTTGTCCCATATCTGTGCTCAGAATTGCACCGTTTTTACTTTGTCTGGTATTGGACATTGCAATCTTTCTGTTGTTGCCCAACAACCAAAGACTCTAATATCTTATTTTCAAATCATTAGAGCAGAAGCACCTTTTTCAGGGCCACGTGGCTGCTTCAGAAGCTACTCCTAACAGCCAGAACCATAAGACTGGAAAAAGATAGTTTTGTTTAACTATTTATGTGATGCACTTTATACATGTTCCTAAACATTCCAGAATATCTATTTTGAGGTTTTGCACAACAGTACTAACTACGTGCATTTTCCCTACATCTTTAAATTTACGTAAAATTTACCTATATACTACTGCAATGAAGAAATGCATTTCAGAATCTGTTTTGCCTAAGAATACTATATACCTGGGGGTAATACCATATATTCCATATATGCATATGGGTAAGCCAAGAGTTTTAGACAAAGTACAAAGTAAATTTGGATACATATGGATAGGCTTGTCCACAAGCATATATGGTAAAAAAATATACTCATAAAATCATAAAGCTGAACCAAAATACTATGAAAACTGGGCTACCCATGGCTAAACCAATTGTGAAAAACTGAAACAGAATATGTTCTGGAAAACAACATTTATTGATACAAACTATGAAATAAAATAAACAAACAATCTTTCAGAATTAATTGAAAAAAATATGAGCTGGTTTATCTATGTGCAACCCCAAAAATGTCAGCTGACAGGGACTGGAAAGTGAGCTTTTTCTGCAGTAGACCCTGCTCTGTGGAACATCTTCTTTTCAGAGATTAGAATGGCCCCAATCCTGTTAGCATTCTGGTAAAGCTATGGTTATGGCTATGTTCTTAAGCCTGAGTTACTATATAAGCCAACAGCCCTTTCTCCTGGCTATATTGTTAACAGACCAGACATCTTAACAAAACAGAATAACAGAATTGGAAGGGACCTTGGAGGACTTCTAGTCCAACCCCTTGCTTAGGCAAGAAACCCTACATCACTTAAGAGAAATGGATGTCCAACATCTTCTTAAATACTTCCCATGTTGGAGGATTTACAACTTCTGGAGGCAAGTTGTTCCACTGATTAATTGTTCTGTCAGGAAATTTCTCCTTAGTTCTAAGTTGCTTCTCTCCTTCACTAGTTTCCACCAATTGCTTCTTGTCCTACCCTCAGGTGCTTTGGAGAATAGTTTGACTTCCTCTTCTTTGTGGCAACCCCTGAGATATCGGAACACTGCTATCATGTCTCCCCTAGTCCTTCTTTTCATTAAACTAGACATACCCAGTTCCTGCAACNTAAAGCCCTACATGGTATTGGACCTGGGTACTTGAGGGACCGCCTCCTGCCAATTACCTCCCTACGACCTATTAGATCCCACAGACTAGGCCTCCTCCAAATTCCATCTATCAGCCAGTGTCGGCTGGCAACTCCTCGGAGGAGGGCCTTCTTTGTGGCTGCTCCGGCCTCTGAAACGATCTCCCCATTGAGATCAGGACCCTTACCACCCTTCAAGCTTTCCGCAAAGCCACAAAGACCTGGTTGTTCCGACAGGCCTGGGGCTGAAGAATCTTCCGGCCCCATTCGAATGTTGCGACTGTTGTTATATTTTAATTTGTTTGTCTGTAATTGTTGTCATTTGTACCCCTTCCCCCATGGTTGTTCGCTGCCCTGAGTCTCTCGGGAATAGAGCGGCATACAAGTTGAATAAACCTAACCTAACCAAGTGAAAATGTAGTTCTAATTGTCGAGTGCTACCTGTATCTATATTCTTTATAAGTAAAATATATTTGTGTGTACTTTTGTATACACTGCTTGGAAATAGATCAGCATAGTCAGCTGTTTTAGCTATAGAACAGAAATGTCAAACTGACAGCCTGTGGGAAGGATTCGTTGCGCGCAGGCCACACCCACACTAGTTCCGCAAATGGGAAAAACGTTGCAAAACGTCAGGTGACGGCAACATGATGCGGCACGTTTGACACCCATGCTATCAAATGTTATCCAATTTATTTCAGTTGGCTTCCCCAGCCAAAATAAAAAACAAAACCCAAAATTGTAGAGCTTTCCCTCATGTTTGGAAGTATAATTCTTTAACTTCATTTAATTTTGTGTAAGCCTGTTTTTTTTAAATTTAATTTTGTTTACAAAATCAAGATGATCACTCCAGTGCTTCATCTTTTCACACATGCCTTTGTTTATTCATTCTCTCAAAATAGTCAAAATAGGCTTCTGCCTTACAATAGAACAGACAAATGAGCAACTTATTCAAGTAATTTATTTCCCAAAGGATTTATTTGTTAATGTAAATTTGCTTTTAATCATAACTGATTTTTGATTTATTTATTATTATTTAAATAATACATAATTGCTTAGAGAAAATAGTGACTGCTTAATTTCTTGATAAGATAAATCCTATTTTGTGGGAATATTCTGAAAATGCTGAATATTCAGTCAACAGTACTTCTCTGCTTTTACCTCTTCCTCACTGAAATTTTAAAAGCCAACAATAAATAAATATATAAAATGCCAGATAAGACTTCCAATGACTGCATGGCTCATGATTGTTCTCCTAGAGCTCCTGACACAGGGACCTCTCCTGCATCGGTACATTAGAATTGAAATTTCAAACAAATCTGTAAGTCTGTGAAGACAACCGCATTTTTCTTAATTTGGACTTAAACTGGTATCAAACATGCATCATTTTATTTTGAAGAATATAAGAATATTTCTTTGTATCTTCCACCATTATTATATTTCCTTCCTTAAAATAATCCAATAATTCACATTCAAGAATTACTGTTGGAAAGATCAATTATAATCTTTATCAGCTTTTAGGAAACATGCTAGAATAAACCTTAAAGAAAAAGTATCTTAATAATTCTTGTTGAATTGCATATGTGAAATTTGTATTCAGCATCTCACTTAATGCTATTAGTCACTTTTTCCCCCAACACAGAATGACACTTATGATTACTATGTCGGAAACCTGCAATAGCCTGATTGTGAAAATAATAATAGAAACAAATATTCTATGAAATATTTTCACAGACGACATTTTGACATATTTCATTAAAATTAGATGTAGCAAATGATAAATAAGACTGTAACAGTATTAAAGTCAAACATGTTGTACAATTTTCCCCCAAAAAATCTTCTCTGTAGACTTATAAGCCTACTGTCATGTTTGAATGTGACATTACTAAAACAATCATAAGAATCTCAAATGATTAAAACAAAGACTCAAAAAAGGACCAAATTTACCTTTTCAATAAATAACAAGGAAAAGATTTTACAGTGTAATAGTTTTAAAAAGAAATATTTAATGCTCATATTCATAAACACCAGTTCATTATAGCAACAGCTTGAGTCTGCTGATAGTTTTGTAAAATAGATGAAAGGTTCAGCTCAAATTTTCTGAGTATTTTCATAGTTAGTTCTCTAAGAAAAATCTGTTTATTCCCATCAAGTAACATAAACAATATGATATGCAACTACAGTACTACATTCACTAGTTTTCTCTAATATTGCTCCAGGAAGTGAAAACAGATCTTGTATTAAGTATGCATCCATCAAGGGCAATTTATACATTGCTAATTGCTCTCAAAATAACAATATTTTAAATTTTTGCTATAATTTTTTCAAGCCATTACAGCATATCTTATGGAAGAACTCAAGAAAAAAGTGAAAATTATTCCCAATAATCAACATTAAACAATGTATCAGTATTATATCCTCGTGCATTCTAGCCTTCACAACAAGTTTTAGGAACAGTTTTTAGAAAGAGAATTTTGATTTTCTGTACTGAATTTTCTTGACACAGATGGGAATTTTGTTTGTCATTTACTTTCATCTGTCATTTGCAGCATTTTTTTTTGTTATTTCCAGGTAGACAAATATAATATTGTAATGGTCTTAATTTCAGACTATTAGTCCCAAAATAAATTAAAAAGCCAAAATGTTCTTAAAGGGTCATTTACTGGAAACAATCCCATCTGAGTTGCAATTAGCTAAAGTTTAAAATGGAATAGGACTCACCACAATGGCCATAAGGTTGCATGTAGATACAGTTTGGACATTGAAGTAAAATCATTTACACCTTTAAAAAATCGCATTCTACAATGTTATAACCCCCCCCCCAAATATTTACTATTAGCAATAGCAATAGCAGTTAGACTTATATACCGCTTCATAAGGCTTTNTTTCCCTTTCTTTTCCCATAATCATTTGTGTTGCTCTTCTCTGCACTCTTTCTAGTGTCTGCACAAACATTTTACATCGTGGCAACCAAAACTGGATGCAGTATTCCAAGTGTGGCCTTACCAAGGCATTATAAAGTGGTATTAACACTTCACATGAACTTCATTCTATCTCTCTGTTTATGTAGTTTAGAATTGTGTTGGCTTTTTTGGCAGCTGCTGCACATTGCTGGTTCATTAAATGGTTGTCCACTAGGAGTCCAAGATCCCTCTTACAGTTACTACTATTAAGCAAGGTACCACATATAGTACCTGTGCAGTTTGTTTTTCTTGCCTAAATGTAGAACCTTACTTTTTTCACCTTCTTGGCTTTGTGTATACTTCAAACTCTTAACTGTTTAAATACTTTTTACTGTTTCATTGTTTTAAAACATTTTTTAAGGTTTAATAGTAATATATGTTTTGAATTGTGAGACACCCCAGAGTCAATTGCTGAGATTGATGGCTATAGAAATCAAAATAAATAAATAAACCCATTTTTCATATTTTGGTTAAAAATTTGAAGCTCATATAATGTGTATATGGGCTTATATGTCAGGAATCAGAAACCATTAATGCTGAAAGACAACTAAGACAACAACACAAAACAATTGTAATTTGAACATAAAACACAAACACAAAAAAAAACACCAACAAATTAACAAAATTTTGTTAATTTTGCAATTAACCAAAATGTTAAGAATGACCTTATTTAAGAAGATTTCCATTGCTATTCTGTTAAATGGAAATAAGATATATAGTCAAAATTATAAACAAAAGATCTTCAAACAGGTTTGGTCTTAAAAATTCTTTCAAAGCAAAGTAAAAAAAAAAACAGCTAATTCCTAACACAGAGATTTCAAAGCATAATAATAACTGTCTCTTAAAACAATTATTATTTCTACTACCATTTTCTTTTCTACATATTGTTGGTTATAAAGGTATATTTAATAAATTATTAGAAACCAGACGCATTATTCAGAAAGAATGTATATATCGATTATACCTTAAAGAAAAATTGTGCAATATAGGATAGTTTAGTTCTGTGATGGCTAACCATTTTGTCATCATGTGTCAAAAGCACTTGCACCCTTAATGTAATGTGCACATAAATGCCCCCTGCGTGCCCTGCCTCCCTGTACATGCACATGTGACTCCTGCACTCCCCCTGCCCTCTGTGCATGCACACGCAAGCCCCCCATGTTTCAGCCATTCCCCATGCATGTGTGGGCAACCCCCCTGTGCCCTGTTTTGGGCCTAGTAGGCCTCCCTGAAGCCTCCTGGAAGCAAAAATGGGCCACAGGGGAGTGTGTATCCCACTTCCCCCCACCTCCCATGTGCAGAGACCCAAAAATCAGATGGCCAGCGGGAAGCGCAGGCGCGGTAGAGCTGAGCTGGGTGACATTTCACGTGCCTGCAGAGAGGGTTCTGTGGGCCACCTGTGTCACGCATGCCACCGGTTCACTATCATGGGTTTAGTTCATTTTCATTGTCTCTAGAACTGAAGGACATAAGAGACAACACTTTTCCATACCTGTATAATGCTTCTCTATGTCAGCAGCCAAAACTGACCAGAAATAGAAAGGAGCCAGAATTTTCTTAAAATAAACAAATCTTTTGCAATCCTAAATTATTTCCAGATTAATTCGTGAGAAATAACTTTCGCCCCAAATTTGACATGGATGTGAATATAAAGGTAAAATAATCTTTTAGCAAAAGCAAACAATAAGAAGAAAAATCCATTAAAATGTCATTTCTTGCCTAAATATGTAACATGGACTTCTTGTAGGAGCTAGCTTTGATAGCAATCCGAAAACTACACCTGTGATTTTGGAGTAAAATGTTTCTGAAAGGACTCCTGTATTCACAGTAACTTACACTAGTCCAACAGTACCCAAAGGACACCAGCTGCCTATGATTAACAAGAATACTAATGTAAAATATCCAGCATACATTTATGAAAGCCACGAAATATTTCCCCTGTTTGATACATTTAAATTTCCCTTTAGCCCACTCACTTTTGTAGCTGCTGGTTCCACTAGCTGCTGGCGATGCCGGATTGAGCTGAAATGGCTCTTCGGGGGTATCCCTTCCTGACAGTGAATAGAATGCGTTGGGATGGGGGGTGAGGGTGGGGAATGCAAGACAGGAAAAGATGAAATATGGGAAGGAAGGAATGGGAAATGATTGGAAAAGGGAAAGGGAGAGTATTTAACTAAAATATATTTAACTATATTTCTAAGAATTTAATACCAATAAAGGAGAATATAAGACAATCTAACAATATTAATACTGAAAAAATATAAGTACCAAGTAGTATTAATATTATAATTGATATGAGCACAATTCAGCCAAATCATGAGATTTTTCTAATTTCAAGCACTCTTCCTCTGCATCCAAACATCTTCATACTTCTCAGTTAAAGGTATATCGTTTATATATAGCAGTTTTGAAAAATCCCACAACATTTACTGGCCTCATGTGAAACTTATATATACAGTATGCACAGAAGAACATGGTGAATGAACGGTGAAGCTTCAGGCTGGCAAAGGAGTGTGAGAAGACTGTATACTCCCCATCAGTGGTGAAATCTATTTTTTTGTCACCGGTTTTGTGGGTGTGGCCTGGGAGGGTCATATGACTGGGAGGGTATGGCCAACTTTTTCCACTTTTTAAAACATTTTTTGCTGCCAGTTCAGGTAAATAGGAAGGAAAAAGATGCTTTAAAAACAGAGGGGAAAAAAGCTTCTGATGATCATGTGGCTCCCAGATGATCCGCATGATTGTTGGAAGCTTTCCCTCCACTTTTTAAAACATTTTTTTCCTGCCTATTCACTCAAATTGGCAGGAAAAAAATGCTTTGCAAGGGGGGGGAAGCTTCCAACGATTGCACAGATCAACCTTGAGCCACATGATCATTGGAAGCTCCCCCCACCACTTTTTAAAACATTTTTTCCTGCCGGTTCGAGGCAGGAAAAAAATGCTTTAAAAGTGTGGGGGGAAGCTTTTGACAATTGTGTAGATCAGCTGTGAGCCACACAACCATTGGAAGCTTTTTTTTCCCCGCTTCTTGAAAGTTTTTTTCCTGCCTATTCACCCGAGCCAGCAGGAAAAAATGCTTTAAAAAGCGGGGGGGAAAGCTTCCGAGGATCGCACAGCTCACAGCTGAGCCGCGCGATCCTTGGAAAGTTTTTTTTTACTACCAGTTCGCAGAACCAACAACAATCGTCCCTACTGGTCGGCCGAACCGGGCTGAACCGGGCCGACCGGGAGAATTTCAACCCTGCTCCCCTTATTTATTCAGTTTATATGCTGAATATATATTAAAAGAACCTGGATTAAAAGAAGGTGAATGTGATTTTAAAATTGGAGGAAGACACATCAATAGCCTACTCTCCTGGCAATACTAGATAGCCAAAAATGCAAATAATCTGCAAACTCCAGAATAAATGGAACATGGTAAAAAAAATGGAATAAAATTAAATATAAATAAAACCAAACTAAGGATAATAAGTACAACAACTGGCCTTACAATTGACAACAAAGATATCACACTGGTGGATAGTTTGTGCCTTTTAAGATCAACCATATATAATAAAGAACAAACATTAAAGAAATACATTACAGACTAGCACTTGATAAAGCAGATGTGAAGGCTTGGAAAAGATATGCAAATGCCATGATTTGCAATCCTTTGAATACCTACAAAGAGCAGAATTGTACAACCAATGGTATTCTTCTGTGATACTCTATGGAAACAAAAGATGACCATGAAGAAGCAGGATAGGAAGAGTATAGATGCTTTGGAACTTTAGTGATGGAAAAGATTCCTGAAAATACAGAGGACAGCTAAAAACACGATAAATGAATCACAAATCAACCCTAAATTTTCACTCAACAAACAAAGAAATCAGACTCAAATCATCCTATTTAGGATGCATTATGAGAAGGCCTAGCTCTCTAGAGAAGGTTCTGATGCTTGGAAAAATGGAAGGAAAAAGAAGAGGACAATCAGCAGCAAGATGGGTGGACACTGTTACAGTGGTGATGAGTGCCCCATTGGATGACCAGGCTTAGGGACAGATTGTCATGAAGAAAATCTATCTATGTGGTTTCAAAGAATAAATAATGACATGATGGTATTCATACATTACATGGATTATATATTCTCTTGAGCTCTAATTAAACCAATATCATTCATTATTTAGACTGACATCTATTCCTTCTTAAAGGTTTGTTGCACCAATATACTTAATCAGGATGACTGTTTACCTTTATTTTGTCTATTTCCACGTGGATAACCTCAAATGAAGAATATTCACCATTATATTCTGCATGGCTATCTTTAGGAGACAACAAGTAAATAATTGCTAGACTCATCGTTATGTTTTGTAGTTACTACATAAATTATATATAAAGAAAATGCCACAAGGGCAAGAAAAATATTGTGTTCATCTATGTATCTATCTATTCTAAAAGTTATATAAAAATAAAGTGCTAACATTTTTATAACTTTCCCCACCTTATATTGTGAAATAGGCATTTCCATGGCTATGCATTTTTATAAAGCTACTATGAATTTTCCAATAAAAAGGAAAAAGCTACTTTATCCTTTAATACTACATTTCTTAATGTCATTCTGCTGCACAGTGAAGTCATATAATCCTGGGAAAGACGCAGCTGATAGAAGAAGTTGCCTACAGATGCTACAACAACCCCCCTCATACATAACAGATATATTTTTCATCATCAAATGCAAAACATTGCAAAGACCTAATTGGAACTGACTTGATCACTCTGGGGAATCATCTTTGCCAGATAAAAATCAGGGGAATGCTACTTGATTCTCCCAGACACTATAGGATTCTCATCCTTTTGTACTCATTCCCGTTTCATAGAGAAATCTGTTAAATAGAGAAATAAATCTGCTGAAATAATTTAATGTACAACAATACACAAGGCAGCTCTTTCTCCTTCCTCTATCAATACCTAGTGAGATATTTAGAAGTGAGTATTGTACAACACTGCTTGCCTGTGGTAATGATCTGGATGGGAACCAATAAATTAAAGCCCATGCCAGCAAGGAGGTTTTGTTAATGGATGGTTCTTCTTTCTGGAGATAATAGATTGGAATGGATAATCATGTGCTTCCTATTTTTCATTTTAAAAAATCAGCAGAGATATTGCTGAGCAAGAAAGCAGCACTTTCACTGAAACAATCTTTATAATGTTTATGGTTCCTTATATGAAAAAAAGATTGAAAGCTTTTGAAAAAACTGGCTAATTTAAAATATTTAGATATTAAACCAGAAATTTTGAAAGTGAAATGTTTACAAGTAAACCTCTCTATCTATTCAAATGATTCATTTAGTGAAAAAATGAATTGGGAGTTGTGTTTACCAATATAGGCTGGTAAAAGTTCAACTGGCAACTATCCCTTCATTTTGGTGTTTACTAAGTATCTTTTTGTTCTGTCCTGTTAATTATTTTTTTCTGCTGCTGTTTGTTTTATCTACTATATTTGTAAGTTCATATATAATGTCACTGATTTTTTATTTGATGCTTTTAAACTATTTTAACAACTTTGCAGTATTTAACAGTTTTATTTCTGGTTTTTAAGAGTTTTACTTCTTTTTTTAAAAAAAAAATATTTCCCTTGGAAAACTTCAATATATGACAACTAAAAAAAATAGAAAAGTTTAAAGAATTCTGTTTGGCCTTTAAAATATAAGTCTGTTCACTAGATGGTACCTGTTAACATTTCTTGTGGACAAAAAAATAAAAGCAGTATTTCTGATATGCCTTTTGGATTTACTCTTTCAGAGTTTTCCAAAATGTAGTTCTTTGAAACAAAATGTTACAAAGTTTGGGGCATCACTACTGCCTCTCTGTAAAATGATAAACTTAATTTAGTATCATAGGGATTCTCACAAATACACATGGTTTAGTTTGCTCTAATCATTAACCCCTTTCCTAAGAGTAAGATTTAGAATTATAGGCACCAATATATTCTAAAATATATTCCAATAGTCTGTTTTGTTCTCAATATTTTAAAGTTGTTTTACTGAAAATTTATATATCATTTTTACAATGCAGTCAAATGTATAGGAATTTCAATATAAAATCCTGAATCTCTCTTCCCCTCATTTATGCAGCCTAGAAGACCTAGTCAGAACAAAATTAGTCTTTTACAGATTGAATATAGTTCTTCCAGTTATTTGTACAAAATTTATTTATTTATTTATTTATTTATTTATTTATTTATTTATTTATTATTAAAATTTATATGCCGCCCAATCCCGAAGGGCGGCTTACAAAAGAAGAAAAAGAGAAAGAAAGAAAATAAGAAAAAAGACAGTTTAAAATCACAAAACCACATGCATTCATTCTAACCAGGGCTGGACCTCAACAATGAGGTCAACAGCCCCAGGCCTGCCGGAACAGCCAGGTTTTTACAGCTTTCCTGAAGGCCATGAGAGTGGGTATAGTCCGGATCTCTGGGGGTAGCTGATTCCAGAGAGTCGGAGCAGCCACAGAGAAGGCTCTCCTCCGGGGGCCTGCCAGCCGACACTGTCTGGCTGACGGCATCTGAAGGAGGCCCAATCTGTGGGATCTTACTGGCCGCTGGGAGGTATGTGGCAGTAGGCGGTCTCGAAGGTAATCCGTTCTATTCTTCCTACAAACCACTAAGAACTTTATAAATCAATGTTAAAGTTTTGGTGTGCTTCATCACTTTTCTTAGACCACAAATGCTTCCCTGCTCAGTTCCTAATAAATACACTAGAAGAACATTTATATGAAAAAATTCAAGGTAGATAGATAAACTTTGTGACTTGACAAATAGCCCCTACAAGAAGTACCTCAGCCAGTTACCTGCTTGTGGACTTTTCTTACTAGAGGAAGGTCAGATGTTTATAAATCAGTAACCTCATTGTATACCTTCCAAAAGAAGTAGCTGCCATACAAGGAGATTCAGGTTTTGATTAAAGAAGAAAACCAAAAAACATTTTGGCAAGTTAAAATTCTTAAGCAATATGGTGTCCTTCATTTGTATGCCGGACCAGGTACAGTCTGAAGGATCAAACCTCAGCAC